TTTGCATGTCTATCAGACTCATGCTGCACTAGTGCCGTTTGCTATTTAGGAATTATTTTTTTTTAAATTTTTTTTACGTTTCCATGGCAACAACTTGGCCTTAGATTCTATAAGGGTGGTGTTTGTTCATTTGCGGGACGTAACTTAAAAAACATTGAATAATTTGTTACAAAACTTTGCATGTCTACCAGGCACAAACTGAACTGGTGCCGTTTGCTATTTAGAAATTTTATAAATTTTTATTTCTTATGTTTCATGGCAACAAGTTGGACTTAGGTTCTATTGGGTAAAGTTTGTTTCCGGAGCACAACTCAAAACACATTCAATACTTTCTAACAAAACTATGCATGTTTACCAGACACATACTGAATCGGTGCCTTTTGCTATTTAGGAATTTTGGAATTTTTTATTTTTTACGTTTCCATGGCAACAAGTTGGACTTAGGTTCTATAGGGTAAAGTTTGTTTCCGGAGCACAACTCAAAACACATTCAATACTTTCTAACAAAACTATGCATGTTTACCAGACACATACTGAATCGGTGCCTTTTGCTATTTAGGAATTTTGGAATTTTTTATTTTTTACGTTTCCATGGCAACAAGTTGGACTTAGGTTCTATTGGGTAAAGTTTGTTTCCGGAGCACAACTCAAAACACATTCAATACTTTCTAACAAAACTATGCATGTTTACCAGACACATACTGAATCGGTGCCTTTTGCTATTTAGGAATTTTGGAATTTTTTATTTTTTACGTTTCCATGGCAACAAGTTGGACTTAGGTTCTATAGGGTAAAGTTTGTTTCCGGAGCACAACTCAAAACACATTCAATACTTTCTAACAAAACTATGCATGTTTACCAGACACATACTGAATCGGTGCCTTTTGCTATTTAGGAATTTTGGAATTTTTTATTTTTTACGTTTCCATGGCAACAAGTTGGACTTAGAAAACAATAAGGGTAGGGTTCGATTCCGATTGAAATTTTCCACATCTATCAGACATATGCTGAATTGCTTTCTTTTGCTATTTATGAATTTCAGAAATTTGTATTACTGGGCATTATTTCCAGAAATATTTCCTTGCCAAACATTGCATGTCTATATATAAAGCACATACTGAACTGGTGCCATTTGATATTAAGGAGTTTTAGAAATGTTTATTTTAGAATTTCCATTGCAGCTATTTTGACATGGGCTAAGAGAAATGTTGGGTCAGTTACCTGGTTTGGGACCATAACGTGTTAAAATGGGCGGGGGATATAGATGACTTCGTCGACTATAGGCTTGTTCTAGTATTAGCGTGAGTACATGATGAATTGCCTCCCCTTCAGCAGTGAATGTTGACTGACCGTCAGACAGGCGAACCGAATGTGCTTGGGTTTGGAGCTATGGATATGGATCCTGTAACCAGCAGTGATGTTCGTAGGATTCTTAGATCCATCAGCCCAGCTGTTCAAGGTAGTTTGAATTTTAGAGATAGCTGCTGATCGTAGCAAATTTGGTTTTCTTTTTTAGTGACTTCTGATGTAAAAGCAGTGTCAACTTTGTGAGGATTGTAAAGTCCATGGAGTTTGGAACCCTTTGTAGTGACTTTCTGGTGGCTGAATTTCATCACAGTTGTGACTTCGGGTGAGTTCACGTACTAATATCCCAGATGGCTTCAGTGAGGAAACAGGGGGCACGGGTGGCCCAGTGGTCTAAGGCGCCGCGATTTGCTGTGCAGAGTTGCGTCCCTTGGGCATGCCAGGAACCTATGATTGTGGGTTCGAATCCCGGTTCGCCCCGATTATGTTTCTAGGTTTGCCAGCACCGTGCTCGTGGGTTTCACCGAAGTGGTAAACGTCTGAGACCTGCATCCCTTCGGGCTTTCCTCCCACATTAAGCTGACACGCCGTGATATAACTTGAATACTGTTAAAAGCGGCGTTAAACCCAACTCACTCACTCACTCACTCAGTGAGGAATCAGTGAAGCTTGGGTTTCATTTCGGGTGTCTTTGTCTGCCATATCTTTTTCACCAAAGGGTTTGATGTTAATTTCCAGAACGATATATTCCGCCCAGCTCTGGATGTCTGCATAAAAGTTGGTATTGCTTTTAACTGAATAGCGTCAGGCTATAGGACTGTTGACAATTTGTTTGGTGTTGGCAAATCAACAGAGATATGGATTATATCATTCTCTGAGGGCATAAACGTTTAGTGACAACATATACATACAGTACCATGCTACAGGCATGCTGCAAATTTGCTCCTGTTTTAAATGTACACACATGAGTAAACGCTTGCATGAACGGGGGATATGAATCAACCAACCAACCAACCAATCAATCACTTGTAGTGCTTCACGACCTGTTGTAAATACATATGAGTAAACGGTTGAATGGTTGATCAACCAACCAATCAATTAAGCAACCATTCAACCAATCAATCAACCAATCAACCAATCAATCACTTGTAATGCTTTTAGTGAAGTACGATATGGCGCAAATTCAATCTATAGCGGTAAATAACATGTAATATTTATAGAAAAATGTCTGTATCTTAGTACACCCTGACATAATGAACATTAAGAACGATGCTATAATATGTTCTTGATTTGCATTATCATACTGTAGGCCAGATTTGGGACACCTTCTAGCGTTTGTTGCGAGATAGAATGGGTCTTCCCTCCCCGAAAAATTGCTCGGTCTCAAGTCGCGGAACACCTTATACACGTCTCGTCACGATATGGCCGAAACATTGCCGATGTGACGTTAAACTTTAACTCACTCACTCACACGCTCACCTTCTACACGTTGACTGGGATCATCGGGTTGGGCCTAGGCCCTTGGTGTCACAGCACGAACACCCGTGGGGTCGTCTCCGTTTCTGGTTTTGGATTGCCATTAAACATACTCGATGAACTCATGATTATCAGAATCTCGTTTCAACTGAACATGCCCCCCAAGTCATTCTTCTAGATCTGTGTGGAGTTATTGACCGTAGACCGAAACAAATTGTATTGTTCCACCATGGAGTGTTTAATATGGATTCAGGTGTGTTAGTGCCAACCTGGCCTGCATCTCGGAGTTGTTTTATTTCACTGTTGGAAATAGCTTCCGCTCTGTAAGGTAAGTTACACTTTTCCTGTTTTTTTCAGTGATTTTAGTTTGACTTGATGGCATCCCTCATTTTGGAAAATTCAACTGAAAAGGAAAGTGAGAAGTCGTAATCTTCGCGTTTTAAGTGACGATTTAAACAACCCCGGAATCCATTCAGCTTTTCTGAAAGAAACTGTTTGACAACTCACATGTTGAGCATAGGTGTTTTTTATAGTGTTTGCATTTTCATTTTCTGCCAGAAATTTGTCAATGTCGCCATCATTTACATCAACCAATCTTTCTGCTATTTTTGGAACATCAGGGATGTTATTTGGGGCATCCAAGAAATCATTACCATCGAAGCATCCAGAAATGATTGATTTAGACCGAAATGTTGGGGGCGTGGCAGACATTGAAGTCACGGTTTCAGGAATCACGCGTAGTCTATAACGAGGGACTTGTCGCTCACCCATGTCAGTTTTCACCACAAAGACGTTGAAACTGTTCAATGGCTGTCTTATGTTCATTACTCTTCCAACCAATTTTCCGTCAGTCTTCACAAAAATCGTTCACTTTTACCGGGGACAACAATGTCGCCATTGTTGGTTACATGCAGGTTTAGCAGACGATTTATTCAATCAAATCTAATCTACAAGTCTCATTTTGTGTTTATGTTCCGTGTATTCAATTATCGTAAACAACATGTGTGAACGATATTTCATATGAAGGAATAGAAATTATAGTTTTAAGAACGCTTTATGTTGTAAATGACAAGTCTCGTATGGCAGAGACATGTTTGTGGAAAAAGATGAATGAACTTGATGAATGGGGAAATGTAGTTCCGGTAATGCGTCATTAACCAATGAAATTACAGGCTTTCGTAAACAGGGAGGCTACAGAAAAAATACTACCCAGCATCTCCGTTCTCATATGGGTAATAAACAGACACGCATCCTGTCTCAATCGATGGATGCGACTACTTCATTAGTAAGAATCTGATACAAGAGATTATCTACCAAAGGCATACAGACTCAAGTTCACATAAAAGCCTTGCGTATGAATACACAAGTCTACCTGCATATCGATTCGCCTGAGTTTGTCGCTACTGCGAACATGGCTTTGTCAGTACTGTGATCCCGGATGTGTCAGTAGTGTGATAGTTGGTGTCCGAGTACTGTGACCATCCGTTTGACCACACCAGGACCATGGCTTTGTCAGTACTGTGATCATGACTTTGTCAATACTGTGATCATGACTTTGTCAATACTGTGATCATGGCTTTGTCGGTACTAGTATTGTGGGTTTGTGAGTACTGTGATCATGACTTTGTCAATACTGTGATCATGGCTTTGTCGGTACTGGTATCGTGGGTTTGTAAGTACTGTGATCATGGCTTTGTCCGTACTTTGATCTTGGCTGTGTCAGTTCAGTGATCATGGGTTTGCGAGTATCATGTGTTTGTCTGTACTGTGATTATGAGTCTGTCGCTTTTGTGATCATGGCTGTGTCAGTCAGTTTGTCAGTACTGTGCACATCGGTATGTGAGTTTTATGAACATGGGTTTGTCAGTACTGTGACCAGTGGTGTCTTAGTACTATGCCTATTCGAATGTCCACACAAGGACCATGACTTTGTCAATACTGTGATCATGAGTTTGTCAATACGGCGATCATAGGTTTGCGAGTACTATGATCGCGCGCTTCACCAGCAATATACCGTTTATACATGTGTGGCCCGCTTGTCTACTATCCCTAATTAAGCTGACACGACGTGACCAAAAAAGGACCCTTCAAAGCGGCGTAAAACCTAATTCAATCACTCAAAGTCTGGAACATTTTCAACGCCATGTCATCAAACCACCTTTTTGGATTCCACTGGATGGATGAATGAATGGCCAAACAAAAAAAACAGTACACATTTCTTAATCAACAACTATATACTAGGCACTGATTTATTGCAATAGCAAAAGAAAATTCTAGTGACTTGCGTCCCTATGGACATCCGTACAATGATATGATGAAAGACGTTGCATTAATGTTGAAATGTCATGATCCATTCACGCCAGAACCTCTGATACTCGGTGATGGTGGGACCCCTTGTTCAGCGACCAATAGTATTGGCGCTTCGTTGTCCACAGAGTCGGCAGATCGCGAATGAATGTTTCATCAATTCTTGCCATCGGGGTACAATATCACACCACGTGGACTCCTTGATGATTTCCCACCATTACTCGTGATCTCTATACATGAAACAATAACTCCATAGTCTCTTGTCAAACTTTCGTTCTTCCGGAACACACATTGAATAGTGTCAGCTCATTGAATCATTCCAGCTGAATTCTATTGTTCATGATTCATATCTAGTGCTCTGTTATACTTCTGATGAGATCTGACAATGTCAGTCCATCGTTGTTTTGTGATAGTCACAAACAATTGCGGCAGTGTTTTTCAAATCCTTCCGCCAGTCGGGGCTGTTGTCCGTGTGTCAGTCAGATATCGTTAATGAAATGCTGCGCGGATCTTTCTGCTGCCTAGCTCACACGGTGGTCTGTAGTTGTCGACGATGCAGTCGCCGTCACAGTCCCCCCAACACAGGCTTCGAAGGGCCTTTAACTGAAAGCAGAATTTAAAAAAAATAAGACATGGAATGATAAGAGACAGTGGATTTAATATTCGTCTCAACTTTTAGACTGTGATTATAGTGGTTCTTATATACGATACATACGAATAGGATATTGTTTTGGGGAGTAACCATTGTCCCAACCTAAATAAACACATGCTGAGGAACAAGAAAAAATACGTAGATGGAAATAGAACGAACTGTTGTTAAATGTATAATTTTATCAAATTAACCATTAGTTCGAAAAAAGCAGTGGCTGGGTTGTTATGTGTACAAATAGATTGGTTCAATGAAGACTGTGATAAGAAATGAATTTGCAACCACAGGACCCCTACCGTGTTTGAAAAAGGCAGATTCAATGATTTTGAAAGACAGGATTTTTCAAGATACCTATCAGTGTATAATGCGAAAGTTTTTCCTTTTTTTCTTTTTATATGTTTTAAATCAAATGATATTTTTTAAGATAACCACGTAGAAGTATGAGTGCTGACTTAGGGCCAGCACAGTGTATTTTGGGATATACTATTGCTAACCTAAGATATTTTCAAGCGATGTTAAGTTCAAACATGACAACATCAAGTGAGAGTTCCTTTGGCTTCTCAATATATGTTCTCTTCACACTACCTTACAAACATTTGATTAACTATATTTTCTGTACATGTTGGTAATGTGTGCTTACCTGACTCTCCGACACCACCATGTGTTCTTTAAATACTATCCACGTGACACTCTCGTAGCAGGGGGGCGTGGTCAGAGATCCGGGATAAGTCCAGTACTCGGACATTGTTTCTGGAGAGAAGAAGAAATATTGTACATGGTCTCTACATACACATACATGGCTTAGGTTAAGACTAGTAAGTTAATTCAGACACTTTACATTTTCATTATTTAACCGTGTCCACTTGCCAAATTGCATATTCGGCATATCTGCCTTTTAAATAATTCTATTCATATTGTGTCATGAATTGACGGATAACGAGAAAGGTTAAGACAGATAAAAAGACGGAAACATGTATGAATGAATGAGAACTCACCTGGGAGGAAACATTTGGGGTTGAACTGGCCTTTGACCTGTTCATGTTTGGAACAGAACTTGACAGCATCTAAACCGTCGGTTAAAGGTTTGAAACCCGGATGCTCAGCGCCAACCTGAAGACAAATGGGAATATAGTTTCATTAGTTTAATTCGGAGCTACGGCCTTCTCGTGTTGAGATCAGTTAATCGTCAAAGTGTGAGAAGCATTCGTAAAATATAAAATTCACGTGGGACGTTTTGCGCCAAGACCTTTTCCTTGTATTACATATTTTACATGCGATTTATTCGATACGCAAGCCTAAAGGAATAATGTACACGTTCCATTAGCCCGAGACTTTAGTTGTGGGGACCTACCTCCAACAAGATGCCAAACACTGCCAAACCATCAGGTTTGTCTGCAGCTTCTCCGAAGCTGGAATATTTATCTCGGTTCCAATGGACTAGATGAAGCTGACAACAGATATTCATTTGTAAAAGACGAACTCAATATCAAATCGAATATCGAAAATATTGAATACTGTTTACTTAAGATTTGCGTGTTTACTTCTGGCAAAACTAAGTGGAGAGTAATTATGACTCCAGATAATTGTTTTGTAGACCATTACTTTAGAAGGTACGTCATGAAGTGATACAAGTTCACATATACATTGGGAAAAGATACGTGTTGTGGTCTTATGATTTGCTGAATCGTGTCCATTTGTAAAGAAAACAAGCACATAATTGAAATTGAAAAGAATATTGTTTACTTGTGACTGTACGTGTTTAAGTGGAGAGTAATTGTGACTCAAGATCTTTGTTGTTGTCCACCCATTACGTTAGAAGGTACGTCATTAAGTCATTCAGTTCGCATATCTCGAGTCTGTATACATTGGGAAAAGATACGTTTGTCGTGGTCTTATGATTGACTGAAATAACCATTTATACACTGACGACGGATATATTTGACATGTGGTCTTGGTGAGAGCATGGACCCTAAATATCGTATTAAGTTAACATATACATGGAGGTAAGCTATGTGTCGTGGTCTTATGATTTGCTGAAATAACCATTTATACACTGACCACGTATATATTTGACATGTGATCTTGGACAGAGTACCTCGGCTGGGAATGTCTTGCCCTCCACTGTGTGCTCCGACCCCCTCTCGTCACATGACCCCCAGTGGAGATGGAACTGCTCAAGTTGATACGTGCTGTCCAGGGGCCCCCCTGAGATAGCTGCAACACAGTTACACATTGTTCAACATCAGCATGCTAGATATGGGCAAATCAGATTCTGCAGTTGAAGAAAGGATGTCGTTGTATCGATATGGCTGGGAAATTGTAATTCATGATTATACAATATTAGTTTATGGTTTATGATTATCTGCATTAAAGAATAGAGATTTTATTTTACACATATATTACCATGTTCAACACAACTCCTCGTATCTTTGTATCAAGCTGTCTTGACGGACAAACGGATGATTTGCTAGGTAAAGTGGAGGCAAATGAAATGGGTGGATGGTTTTGGGGGGGGGGGGGGGAGAGAGTTGGGTATGGTTGGAAGGTTGGAGGACACCGGGTAGAAATGCACCTAAGCAACCAATGCTTGTCATACGGGTGGACTAAAACGGCTCTAGTGGTCAGACTCGAAGACTTGGTTGTTGGGTTTTATAGAACCCCGAGAGCATTGATCGTTGTTCATGTTTACATCCATTGGCTTGTACTGCCCAGGCTCGACTCTGTACGAGCGTCTGTGATGGACTAGGGTATTGCTGGTTGTGACGTTAGACAGCATTCACTGTCTCACGTTAAATAAGCAAGATGTTCATTTAAAGTGGAACTTACTTGATGGTTCCCGGATGTTGGCCTTGACGGAGAACCCTGTGTTCTCGAAGTCCATGTTCTGTTCGATATAGTACTTGACAGAAAGAGGGTTGGCCTCGAGCTTCTGGTCGAACTCGACATTGGTCGAGTTGATGTCCACAGGAGACTGTTGCTTGCCCGCGGCTATGGGGAAGTTGTTGACCCATGACTTGGGTCCTGAAAAACCAGGAATATCACGTGAAAGACAATGTGGCATAATGATATCAGAGAATGTGACATACCCCGCCAACTTGTTCAAGTGAATTTCGGCTCTTGCCTGTTTAATGTTTATTGTATTTGAGTTTGGTGTAATTGCCCCATAAAACCATGTCAGCAAGTCTGTGAGCATCCGTTGAACATCCGTTATTACCCAGAATATTATTTATCACAAGTTTAAATGCATTTTGAAATGTCATAAATTCAACCCAATAAAAGATTAATGTAAGGCATCATTCAGAGGCATATTGTCAATATACATATAACAAATTGATTTGGCATATCGTGAAAGGCGCCGTTAAGTTTATTTAATTCATTTTGTGAGACGCACCTAAACGAACACGCCATGTTTGATATACAAAACATCCGTCACCTTGTGTGTGTGGTGTATTGGATTAAACCGAGCATGGCGGCGCAAACGGAATTAACTGGAGAGAGATATAATATGACACGTCCATGCGAATTAGCGTCCTCGTGTGTCTTACAATGAGATATCTGTTCCTTCATTGTACATTTCACATTTCGGACTGTAGTATTTGTTCTATATTAATATTCAACGTATAGTGTTTCTCGAAGGACCAGCTGTTGCTTTATATACGTGACTAAGCTATACACACGCTTGTGTATACAGTATGGTAATGAGAAATGTCAATGGTATGCACGTTTTTGTTTTTACAATATGGTAATAACCATCTCACTTGAACAGGAGCATGTCTAGGCTATACCCTTGATTTTATAAAAAATATTATGATAATCATCTCATTAAAACATGAGTAAGATGCTAAAAAACACGTATGAAGGGTGTACAAATTACAAATGTCCGTTTTTTAAGCCAGGTTAGTAAGAATCATCTGTTATTTACTTTAATCATTTCCAATAAAAAGTATTTCATTGTTCCTCAGATTTGTCGATGCTTTTAACCGTATGGTCATTATAGGATAACTTATCTTATCTTAACTTATCTATCTTATCTTAACACCATTTTCCACGAATCCATCAGATTTATACACAGATATATCCGTACAAGTATATCTGTCAAAGTAGTACAATTAAATCCAAAATAAATATTGAGTGTTTGTGCAAGATCCGAAATTATGCATCCCACTTAATTGAGATTCATATTTCTACCCGTCTACACTGCTTCTACTCAATATCATAATTTTTGTAGTTACTGAACACTTGTAGAAAACAACGTTGTTGAATCTGCCTCAAGGGTGCTAGTTTTCTAGGAAGTGTCTGTTATATGCTGTCACTTTATGTCACGTGGTACTAAGGATTAATGTCCACAGAGAGCCACCAGGGACGGCATACGTCATGCACAGTCCGCCGTGCGCCTGAGTGAAGGCACTGCGGGTACCGGGAGGTCGATGGTGTACTGCCAGACAACTGACACGAGTGCACTGACTTGATAAGCCCCTCCTGACAACCTTACTGGGTATTTGTCACTTTCACCTTCACAACAGATCTACGTTAAGAGAGGGATATAGATGTCACTTGTGATGCATTCCCGTAACTAGGGACGTTGCCTTAAGAGAGACGCCTGTTTGTAATATGTTTAGATGACGTTATAAAAAAGGCGTTTCTACGAAGTAGCACAGGGATTTGAAATAGATATGCAAAACACTTTAAAGAAGTCCCTTAACCAACCAAACTCCAACTGTGAAGTTTGCAAAAATATTACAAAGTCATAATGGGCTTACTATTAAAAGGTATGGTAACTGAAAAACAATTTATGTACCGTTTTATATAAGAAGACGAACCTTCCTCCCATTACCAGGCGCTCCTTGGGGAAACTATAGTGCATATACACACCATCGGTGCGTCTAGACTTATGTGAACAGATGTAGCACAAGACGGAACCCTGTGTGTATTTCAAATATCAAGCCGCCGACAAAGGTGGGATCGTTTAGTTCAAGGGCAAAACGCGAACGAATACGGTTTACATTCACTGAACAACAAGGGGACACACCCCATGAAGAGTATGCCGAAGGATAAATACACATTGTAAAAAGTTTTCTATGCAATACATCTAACTGTCATATTCGTTCATAAAAAGGTGTATGGATTCACACAAACGAATATTTTTTTATTTCAACATCAGGACGAGACGTTGCTTAGTTACTGCATATTGTACTTGCTCGGTAAAAATAATATACGTCTCACCTAGCAACAGGTTTACAAACTTACACCTACAATGACAGTGTCATTTAAGACAAAAATAAATGTGAACGATTATAATTTAAATAATAAAAACTATAACAAATAATATTTATAAATGAATCTAAAGAAATAAATGTGATAATGAGTTTATTAAATAAATCATCTATCTATACTAAGAACTGTCCCGAAAGAAAGAATACTGCAAATATATTGCCTGTGTTTCAAAAGATCGTTATCAATGTCATGCCAAATTAATGCAATACCATTTTAAAAAGTTGAAAATCAAAAATAAGAAATCTAAAAAATCACCTTCACTGAGAAAAGATTCCGGTTGCAAACTGATTTTTGAAAGGTGCAAAAACAAAATTAAGAGTGCTCATTAACACACTTGAAATACATCTGACCTGATAAAGAACAAAGCGAGCAGAGGAATATTAAAGAACAATAAGAACTATCACACCACAGCAACTTACCGTTCTCGGTTCCGTATCCCCAACTCATGATGACTGCTGTGTGTTGGTGCTAAGTCTGAACTGACGGACTGCCTGCCTGCTTGAGACTGCTGACTCGCCAACCAGGGCGGAGCAATATATAGCCAACCAGCCTGCAACAGCACATGAACATGACATGGAAGGAGATTGGTCATGTCGGGTTCATCAGATTTGATTGATATATAACATCGATTAAGTGAAACGTTATCAACTTATCCCTTGAGAATAAAACATGGGGATATTTACGTCAAAACAAAGGATTAGTCATTTTGGGGATTAACGTATGTTGACTGATGTTTTATCCCCGAAGTCAGGGTTGCGTATTGGTATCAAATAAAAAATATTTAAATATTGTCTTTTACTCTGTCGTCAGTGTATAATGCTCAAGATTCTTAAATTGAGGTGTATGCATTTATTGAGTAAAATGTCAACCTACAGACTAACATTCAGTCTCTGAAATCCTATATTACACAATATCCTTCTTGACTTTAAAAAATAAAAAATATTTCCCTATGCTGATTTCAGAGCTAGCTTCAGCTGGATAGACTTGCTTTTGTATACGTTTCTAGATTATTATTTTTTCATAAAATAAATATATATAGCGGTCATGGTGCAGGACTAGTAAACCTATTGTGAATGGCGGAAGTTTGTCAGTGTGTTTAGTGCGTTGGATTGAATATACTTTGGTAAAGTCACATCACATAATTTCACAACATTTCATTTCATTCAAGATCATAACATTGTTGTTCTTGTATTTGATCAGGTCTGTGTCGGACATGCATACACTCGCACAGTTTGTTTCTGTAGTTGTTTATTCTATATTTATCATATCGTATTACGCCTTGTCATGCCTTACTATATCTCTCAGTGGAGATTGCTTATTCTTTCAAAAAAAGCGTTGTGTTTGTACAAGCCTCGTTATCAATAGATGCATCTCGACAGCAGATCTAACAGGCACAGTTTGTAAACAGAGAAAGGACGCCAAGCATTGAATGCATGTCATCAGCTGAAATTGACAAGGCATATTTGAGTGCAAGATCTGTCGTACACTAGGCCAGCTTTCAACCGTACGTCGTCATACGACAGTTGTGTGCATTGATTACGTCCAGTTTATGTCTGTGACATGGTCATCTATCGTAGTGGACAATACATGGACGTGGTCTGGTTCCGGTCATCCCTGACAATCAACACATGAATTGTATGATGGGCATTTCTTAGAAGTTGTTGGATGACAATGTAGACACAATTTATGGATACATCTTTATAGCGTATACAACCAAACCATGGTTGGAATTGACAGGAGTAGCGGATGTAAGAGTCTGACAGGGGCAGGGTTTAGGATGTACACGAGTGAGTGAGTGAGTGAGTATGGTTTTACGCCGCTTTTAGCAATATTCCAGCAATACTACGGCGGGGGGAACCCTGTCAAGGTCTAATTCAAGACATAACACGGGAAACATGTATTAGTCATTTGCTGGAACTACTGTTGGTATACAGCGGTTAATACCTGCATTACGCCCTCCAGTCGGGTCTATGTAACATAAGGGCAAGAGTTCACAGGGAGCGGCTGAGAATTCACCATATTTTTTCTTCCTTATAACATACATGTGTTCTTGTCCTTCATTGTTTGATAAAACACATTAAGCCTCACTATGTGATACTGGTATTTTGTACAATTATTGGTATGTGTGGTAAAGGTATCGAAACGCCTAATCAGGTCACGTGAACTTCTCAGAGCACCTGTTTTACAATCCAATAAAGCCAAGAGCTTCATACAGCTCATAAACATTTGACAGACTCTGATAAGAAACATTTTATTGGTATCAATGAAAATGGTAGTGTACACAGTGAAATGCAAAGGGTTTCTTCCTGTACGAGGTCATCGTTAATCCAACACGAATAAATCTAAAACTATTTATGTAATTGCCATCTTTATTTGATCCAAGTAAACACGCTGCGGACACGTGGGAGGGAAAGTGCAACTATATTTTACTGGTTTGTTTAGGCGTACAACAATCTTTCATCTATAATTCGTATCAATGTCTCGTACCATACATTTCAAACATGAAATACTGTGATAAACTCAGCTTGCAGTGACTCGTGCACTGTACAATAAAGACGACACTGTGACTTCACACATGTGTAGAGGACATGGGTTGTGCATCAAACATAATGCCATGGCAAGGTTTATATATCTGTGAGTACATATGTGTCTTCGAATTTCAGTACCAGTCACAAATGCATCACTAGTCACCCACAATGCATATGTAGACGGGAAATGACAATCGTCTTCATTACAGAAGGTCAGATAAACCCCTTGAACAACAAGTAGCTGTTTGTACAGCAAGCCCTATCAACCTTGATAAGAATTTCAAGTGAACTGTCACAGTTGACACCTACAACACCTTTAAAATGTCGTGCATTGGAATTGTATATCTGGAATCTCACAGACAAAAGAAATGTGTTCTTATTCCTCGTAATGAGATATATTCAAACAGATAAACACCAAACGTCTCATTCGTTGATAATGTTATGGTTTTTGACTGGGCTGAACATGAACCCGAAGTTATGGATGAAGATCTTAATTCTTTGATGTGTGGATGTAATAGCTGTATAATAGCGTCAAGCAATACCGGTCTGTAGTGATGGGTAGCATAAGTGAAACCACATAGACGATATCAACAGAATTATTATACTATTTACAACATTTAATATATCCCAGGTACTTTGTCCTCGAGTGTAGAGGTTCAGGCATAAAATATAATATCCCATCTTACACAACACGTCAAAGCGTCTGCACACTCCAGTGCAATTCGCGGCGGCAGATCACAGGAATCAAGAATCAAGATTTTTTATTGTACCGAACACCCTCGTAGGTCACGGTACAAACTATCTACATAGGGGAATAAATATAACTATAGCCATGAGAGGTAGATATACATAATGTACATTATATATTGAGATATTACATACTATTTTCCTTCACAATATATAAACATTTATATATATCATGAGGTGGCTGGCAGCGTAGACTCAGTGTAGACACTATTGGTATGTCACAATAGTTGTAGTAAGATTTTACGTCATATCTATACGTTGTCTATAAGGTAGCTTCTTATAATAAACATGTCAGAGATATGTGAAACATACACATGGGGTCAGCAGACGTCCAAGAGTTCCCGTCACACTGCCCAGCTGGACACAAGACAATATTATATAACCACAAACAAACAACTCTGGTGCCGAGCTAGTACAAGAGGAACTAAGATAGCAGGACAAACATTGAAGTTCAAAGAGCGTTACTTTATATCCGCCATAAACTGATGATATCTGCACTATTACATCACTAGTGGCGTGAGTCAAACAGCTGTGGAAGATGCGATAAAGGATAGCAAAGGAGGTATGAAGAGTCCAGGCAGCGCGAGCCAGTCCGTTGTCATACACAGATAACAGTGAGTGAGTTGGGTTAAACGCCGCTTTTAACAGTATTCCAGTTATATCGCGGCGTGTCAGCTTAATGTGGGAGGAAAGCCCGAAGTGATGCAGGTCTTAGACGTTTACTACCTCGGTGAAACCCTCGAGCACGGGTATGGTGCTGACAAACCTAGAAACATAATTGGGGTGAATCGGGATTCGAACCCACAATCATAGGTTTCTGGTGTGTCCAGGGGATGCAACTCTGCACAGCGAATCGCGGCGCCTTAGACGACTGGGCCACCCGTGCCCCCCACAGATAAGAGGATAGGGAGATATCGCGATATGCAATCACTGATCTTGTGGGGTGTGTACTTGGTTTTCTATTGTTTTCCGTGTAATTATTCAAGTTCGTGTATAACCTGCCATCCATACAGCAACAACCCCACTCGTCCTGATATACGTATGTTGTTTCCTTTGTAAATAAAAGCGACATAGCCCTTTACATATTCATAAGAAATATCTGCCCAAAACAGAGTCGATAGTACCATTCCGTCTATATCATGTGCATGTGTTTATGATTCACTATCAAAAAGTGATGGTACCAGGTGTTTATGATTCACTATCAAATAGTGATGGTACCAGGTGTTTATGATTCACTATCAAATAGTGATGGTACCAGGTGTTTATGATTCACTATCAAATAGTGATGGTACCAGGTGTTTATGATTCACTATCAAATAGTGATGACACCAGGTGTTTATGAATCACTATCAAATAGTGAGGACACCAGGTGTTTATGATTCACTATCAAATAGTGATGACACCAGGTGTTTATGATTCACTATCAAATAGTGAGGACACCAGGTGTTTATGATTCACTATCAAATAGTGAGGACACCAGGTGTTTATGATTCACTATCAAATAGTGATGGTACCAGGTGTTTATGATTCACTATCAAATAGTGATGACACCAGGTGTTTATGAATCACTATCAAATAGTGAGGACACCAGGTGTTTATGAATTACTATCAAAAAGTGATGACACCGGGTGTATATGAATCACTATCAAATAGTTAGGAAACAAGGTGTTTATGAATCACTATCAAATAGTGATGGTACCAGGTGTTTATGATTCACTATCAAATAGTGAGGACACCAGGTGTTTATGAATTACTATCAAATAGTGATGACACCGGGTGTATATGAATCACTATCAAATAGTGAGGACAGCAGGTGTTTATGAATCACTATCAAATAGTGATGGTACCAGGTGTTTGCGAAGAGGTGGGCGTATCCTACCCCCGCCCCCACCCTTCATGCCAAACCACTGCGGCTCCATGGTCTCATGGGGGCACGGGTGGCCCAGTCGTCTAAGGCGCCGCGATTCGCTGTGCAGAGTTGCGTCCCCTTGGACACGCCAGAAACCTACGATTGTGGGTTCCAATCCCGGTTCACCCTGATTATGTTTCTAGGTTTATGAGCACCATACCCATGCTCATGGGTTTCACCGAAGCGGTAAACGTCTGAGACCTGCATCACTTCGGGCTTTCCTCTCACATTAAGCTGACACGCCGTGATATAACTGGAATAATGTTAAAAGCGGCGTTAAACCCAACTCACTCACTCACTCACTCCATGGTCACATACATAATCCTATTGAGTTGCAAATGATTAATTAGCATACATGTATTTGTC